ATATATTTAATATTTTATGCCCTAATTTTAATTTGTTCTCCCTTATGTCCCGTATTTGGCTTCAACCATACATATACAATTATTTTATTGACAATTATAATCAATCTTGACTCTATTATATTGCATTTGTAAACTTAGAATTGCCTATTTAAATATGCAAATTTAACATTCAATTATCTATGCATGAATAATTCCAATATAATCTTGTCTTGATATACTTTAAAGTACTTATTTACAAAAAAAAAAATAAATAAAAAAAAAAATAAATAAAAATTGGACATTATCTCAATCGCGTAAAAAACTAGTAGTAAGATACGAGAGAAAGTAAATGTAAGATGATTATATTCATACACATTGCGGCTTGATGAGAAATTTATATCGTATCCTAGTTACACATGTCATGAGGATGTCTTGCAAAGGAGTTGCGTGACACTTTATGATCAGTTGGTCAGGCGACATAATAGTACAATGTTTTTAGCTAACTATAATAGCTTATGTTAACATAGATCTATTAATTTGATTATCACATATATACCTAATTGGATCGATTACATACTTTTTAATTTATTAAATTAAAATCGATCATTCAAAAAGCTAAACATTAGGCTAGAAACTTATTTATGTTCACTATTTCAAATAAACAATTAAGTTTAATTTGTAACAATTCTTGCATACTGTTATTCCCATATACAAATTAAAGACATGGATGAATGGGTGCGGATTGAGACATTGCAACCTCTTCTCGTGTTGTCTTCTATTAGTTTCAAATTGAGTTGTTCTCCAGAGCTATTGGAAGCCTGCCTGCACAGAAATATAATTCTCTCCATTTTGCGACTCTTTCCATTAGTTCAATTGAAATTTATAATAAAACAATTTATAATAGAGTTGAAGAATATTGAGAACTTGAAAATACTTAACTCGTTACAATCTCTAATACGGAGAACTCATTTTGAACTCTATATTTTTCTTCAAAATTGCTTTTTACTAATCTTTGAAATCAAGTTTTAACTCTCACAAAATTTATCAAATATTTTACAATTTTAAACACAATTTTGAAACCTCAAAAACGAGCTACATAATTGACTAGTTAATATTTTATTTGTACCAAAATGTTAAGCAAAATTAGTTCAATTTACTTCTTCAGGTATCTATAAGCGAATTTATGAAATCTAAAATATAGTTCTGTGAAATAAAAAAATTTAAGTTATCAATAAAGAAAATTATAAAATATAAATAAAAATATATAATATGGAAAGATGATAGAAATAGAATGTGGGCCATTAGGGTGGAGGAGATAAGGTAGTGTTGGCAACTGTGATAATGTTAAGTAAAATAAATCCAACAACAGATCTCTCAATTCTGACCTCTTTTTATCCAATGGAACATCTTCTTGCTGCAGATAACAACATGTCTCTTTATTCATGTCTTATTGATAATAAAATACAATATTTTAAGTATCCAATTTTTATTGTTCCTTCACCCTAAGGGACCATTGTTTATTAGGCGCAACGAATCCCCTCACTTTGAAAGGTTATTCTCACAATACCACTGATGAAGTTTAATCTCAAATTATTGTTTTTAAATTTTATTCTTGTAATCAACTGAGCTGCCCGTTCAGACAAAGTATCTTATTTTTGAATGGAGAGAAAAAAGAAATGGCGGTGGTGGCATTTCTGATCACCAATTTATACTATTGCAGGCGGCATAGCATATGCAGCAATGGAAACCAATTAATTAACCTTAGCTTATTTTTCTCATTCCCCTTTCCCTTTCTTCGCCCACCCACCTTTGCAAAACTACAACTGTCATATATATGATCTTCATCGATCCCTCCAAATAAGAAACATAAAACTATTTCTCTGTTGCTTCTACCTGTTTCTCATCCTCCTACCAACCAAAAACAATGGCAAATGCCATTACATTCACGCAATTCATCATCCAACCATACTTCAATTCAAATGTTTAATTTGTGTACACATTTTGATAACATGATATTGGACTCGCCCCTCCACATCGCTGCTCAATAACCCCTTCCTAGTTTTTATATGTTAGCCTCAACTGCACTGAAAGCTATAGTTAGTAACAAATGTGAAACTTTATTTCTTTATACTTTGGTAGCAATCACTGTCACATTTTGATGGTAATATTTTATGGACCGAGCCTGAACTAGTGAGTTATTTATTTAATGTTTAGGGCTGACAAATGTGCGTAGATAGATGGACAAAACCTCATCTTATTACTATACGTAATATTGATTGATCTGCATGCATGCATCTGCAACAATATAATAAATTCTTGTTTGTTTCGAGGCCTCACTTAATGTTGCCTTGAATTGTCTCTTAACTCCGATATATCAACCATTAATGTCCTTAGCTTTCCGAATGCGCCGGGAAATCACATCCGATCCTTCTCTTCAATTCGTAAATGCCTGCCCGTTACATGTCCCAATCAATCTCTGCAACCCATTGACACAACGTTTCCATCAGCCGTCGAACCAGCGCTAGCTGTTTTCTTATATATACTTGCATAACAGTCAGTCTCATAGTCTGATTTTTAATAGGATTTTAAATTTCTGATCCTAACTCTGATACAATCAATCATATTCTTATCAACTTTAACTAATAATAAAGACGTGACTTTATTTCCTTATATATTGTACTGTAAATTAAAGCTAAGGTTATATATATATATAGAGAGAGAGAGAGTAGTAGAAATTGGGATGGTGGTTTGGTTGAGTGTATAGTAGCGGTGGTGATGGCCGGAATGAGTTGGTTAACGGGAAGCAGACAAGCTAAGGCAGAACCTGATCTGATCCACCTCGAAAAGCGTTCCATAGGGACAGGTTTATGCTGTGTGTGCAGTCTATCGCACCCCCCAATAATTCCTACCACTTGATTGCTCACATCTGGCTAAACTTGCTTACACAAAACCAAATTCTCTAACCTTCTTAGCATTTTAATATCACCCTTGATAAATGACGATAACTCACGGCGGGAAATTACAGAATTTCCGACCACCTGAAAATGATCTTAAATTAAGTAGAAAGTATTGTTCTGATCACTTTTGATATTCGAAAAAAACTTTTGTTGTTATTTTCGATCACTTTTTACTTTCAATTTGATATAAAATCACTTTTAGATGGTCAAAAATTCTATAATTTTTAACCGTGCATACTCAATAGCTCATTCGGTAGGAGGACTAGCTATTGTTTGGTGCTCATATGAAACCAACTATATTAGTTCCAAACTCCTTAAAAAGATTGAAATAAGGGATAATCTCAATCAAATTAGTCATGTTGTTGACTCTGTAATCATAACATTATAACTTTAACTCGGACAAAAACGACTTAATAATTTTCTTAATTTGAGTCTGTCAATTATGAATAACCTTAATTGTTTTACCTCCTTGTAATATTTTACTGATTAAAATTACGAGATAGAGGTTACTCATCTTGAGTTTCTTGCCGTGACTAAAAAGGTAGCTAGGTTGAGATAAAGAGTAAGCATGACACGTGATGAGTTGATGAGGGGTGTAAATTTTAGGGTTCTAAACATCATGAAAGCAATAAATTATTTTTAAAAGGGAAAGTTTAAAGAGTGATCCTCGGTTCCACTCAATACTTATAGATAGATATATAAATATATAAAATACTCAATCTGTTCATGCACCATCAAAAGCACTTATGGCATCCCTGCAACAGCTGGTAGATCTTTGGAATAGTTGGTGCCTGGTGGGCCCAAATTCTTCTACAAGATAACAACGTATGTCTGTGTCCGGCTTCCCATTTGATTGATATATATTTTCATCATTTTAATATTCAACATTATACATTTCAGTAATATAAATATATATACTGTGTATACACACACGATATTAATTCGATCATATACAACTTTATAAACAAAATTTAGTACAGTTATATAACTTTTAAGTTACACCCCAAAAAATATTTATGTAAAATATGAAAATTCTACTGTCTATATTAACGTTTACCTATAATATTTTACTTAGAGAAAATAGTTAGGCCGTTAAAACCAATATGACATCTTGTCTTTGATACGAAGGCGATGGCTTCAAACTTGGCATGCCAGGATTGCCAGCAACATTAAATGTGATCAAATGCACATGCCAACAAACTTGAATTGGGGAGCATTTAATTTGGTTGAAACATTGAAATCAAAATCCTAGTTAGAATGGAATACATGGTAATTATAATGGGTTAAAGTAAAAAAGATTTCATTGTTGGGTAGTAAATAGAAATAAAAATCAAAACAATTAATTAAAATAAATAAATAAATAATATATACATACATATATGTGTGTGTATATATACTAAAGTTCCATATTGAATACATGAATGTACAATGACTTTTTATTATTATTATTTTTCTTACTCAATTTTTATTCCATTGTTCACGATGAAGGAAAGTGTAATGAATTTTATGATTACTAAAGGATTTGAATCAAATAATAATAAAAGTATGGTATGTAAGCAAATTAATTAAACATGGTCATTTTTGGGCAGAGACTTGAAGAGCCAAATCAAGCATGCTACCATTGAAATGTGACACTAGTTACGTAATAAACATGTATAAGTAAATAAATTTGCTTTTTCGCTTCTAATTATAACTTTTTGACATAATTGTAAACGTTTGATTTGAACGGGAGCTATCAAATATTTCCCTTTCGCTACTAGCTATAATTTTAGTGCAATAGTAAGCGTCTGATTGCAACATTGATTTATTAGGTTTAATTTGGGTTGTGCCCTAGGTTTGCAAGTTGCAATAATCAATGAATTTGGTTTTATATGAAGATATTTTTTTCAATAAAATAAAGAGAAAAGAAAGATTAAAAAGCTTACCAACTTTAATTTCATGGCAGTATGAAAGCGATTATATTCTGATGAATTAATTGCGGAGTATATATATAAATTATATACTACAATATAATATGTGTGTATATATTTATATAATAATGAACCACTTGAGCTTATAGACACATTTCCCGGAATCACTATTTCATTGCCATCATATTTAATTTCTTCTCCAAGCAGTCTGCTTAGTGCTTTGCCGACCTTCACTGAAAATTCTGATGAAACTCTCAGACTTCTCTTCTCTTTACCCATCCCCCCTCAGCTTTTGATCATTTCTCTTTCCTTTTTTTTATGATTTTATTTTATCTTTTTTATTCATTATTATTATAAGAGTTCCCTAGCCGCCATGGATATTGAGCTCTTGAAGTCTGCTTCTTCTGAGGCTGATCAGATGGAGATGATGCTTATGATGCAGATGGACAAGCTCCCCGGCGACTTCTCCGGCGCTGGGGATGATTATTCCGACGTCAACAACGTGCAAGTCATGGATTTTACCTCACAGGGGATTATTGATACTACTTTCATGAACGTGGCTTCTTTCGCCGGCGGGTCTCCTCCGGCGGCGTATCAAGAACCGGGTTTTCCGGCGGATTCTGTCGGGAGGCTCCGGGGCGCCGGCGGGGGGAGCGGTTATCCTCCTCAGAAGGGGACGACGACGACCTCCATGGCCGCAATGAGGGAGATGATATTCCGGATAGCCGCCATGCAGCCGATTCATATCGACCCGGAGGCGGTGAAACCGCCGAAGCGGCGGAACGTGAAGATATCGACGGATCCCCAGAGCGTGGCGGCGCGTCACCGGCGAGAAAGGATCAGCGAGAAGATCAGGATTCTCCAGAGACTCGTTCCCGGCGGGACCAAGATGGACACCGCCTCCATGCTCGACGAAGCGATTCATTACGTCAAGTTCTTGAAAAACCAGGTGCAGTCACTCGAACGCGCCGGCGCAAGTCGCCGGCCAACCGGGATAGAATTTCCGGTGCCGATATCGACCACCAGCACTTACCTGCCTACCTCGGGAACTCAGAGTTATCATCAATCTCCCCAAAACGTTCAACATTATGGCGATCCTTAATTACAAAGGTGTAGTCATTTAATTTTTAGCATAAATGCATGGTTTTAGTGATAATTAATAATCCATAATCACTTGTATGATCCGTGTTGGGGTTAATTTGCCATGCACGTGTTGTATCACGTTAGAATAATTAATATATGGTATAGTACTATATAGTATATATAATCACAAATGATTAAAGCCTAATCATATTCTTGATATTCAATAATTTTTCTTTTCTCTCTGTAACCGTTATTGACGATGAATATATAAGCATATATGGCAATAATTACGCTTCCCAGAATTCTATGATGATGTCAGAAATTAAGGTTTGATTGCTTATCTTGCTAATCCCGAGGTTGACAATGCAACCATGTTCATATTATCTGATCTTTCGGAAAATATCTAGAAAGAACCAAGAAAAAAAACACCATTTTTTGCATTTTATGTATTCATTCTCTTATTTTGAATAATAATGAAATTTATAAGTGTATATTGGTAAATATTATCTTGTGACTCTAGTTAAAAAAGATAAAAAAGATTACAAAGAGATTAGCCTAAGTTACCAACTTGAATGTGATTGCATTTAATCGCAAAAATTTTAAGAAAAGCATCTCTACATTTTTTTTTTTATTAAAGTTTTTACAATTGTTTATGTCAGTTTAATAATTTAATTTATTTACAAGAAACATTTGTAAATATATCTTTATATTTATTTGTATAATAAGTTTCTTTATATATTGTATCTGTGCTACTAGTTTCTTATTTCAAAAGGTTAAATTTTTAACTCTAAGGGTCTCACACCTTAGAGGATGATGTAAATCACCGTGATTCAATGACTCAGCAGACATGGTCAAATATCACTACACACAAAGGATCTGTCCCGACCACTTTAGACATGCATAATTCTCACACTGTCGCTACCGAGATTCAAACTTTAGTCTCTTCTTCTAAATACTGCCTAATAAATCAGTGAGCTAAGCATGTACAAATTTCTTACTACTAGTTTGGTTTACGGGGTCGGGGTCAGGGTCGCCCATGAATTAGAAAGGGATTTGAAATTAAGAGCAATCTATTTAGACTTTTATAGGGTACCTTTGCTCTGAGAAAGGGATTTGAAATTAAGAGCAATCTATTTGGACTTTTATAGGGTACCTTTGCTCTTAAGGTCAATAGCAGCACATGCCCTTAGAACAAGAACACACATTAATGGAATACAGTTATGAGCTTATGTTCCAATATATTTTTTATTCATGGGAAAATAAATAACCGCCACTTATAAATGATTGATTAAAATATAATTCGCTTTAAATCATACAATTATGTATATATATTTGGTTATATCACAATTATCAACATTGGTGTTGTTAATACATTGTACAACTAGCTAGCTAGACATACATATATTATATCATGTACATTCGAATATCGCATGTGAGAGAGAAAGAGAGATATTTTAATTTACTATGTGCAACTCAGAATGGTACACAACTTTTAATCTATGAGAAAGTTCGCAGTCATTATCTGAATGTGCGCTCTCGATTAAATCTACCTTGTGCCTCTAGTCGTCAAAGGATCACATAAAAGTAAATTAACTAAGCTTATTCCTAATTGACAAGTTCAAATTGAAAAGACTAACAGGCAACTCCAACATCTAAATATGTTGACTCATTTCAACCTTGGAACAACTAACAATGTTGAGTCATTTTATACATTTAACCACATATTTGGTTCATTGAATGATAAATGAATAAGAATAACTAATATCAAAGATGACGATATAGTTCGAAACGTCTATTCGTTTAGCATATATAGAAAATAAAATCATCATTTTACAAGTTGGTTCAACAAAGTCCAAAATGAACTACTTTAAAAAAAAAAAAAAAGAGTCCAAAATGAACTAAAAGAAAGTAGTTTTGCAAAATTTTATTTTGAACAATTTAATGAAACAAAAATTTCATGATTGAGATAACATAATGAAAAAAGCATACTCCGTAGTCCGTATCTACTTACTTAAAAAAGGCATATTTGAAACCCCACAATTACAATTACGTAGGCCTGATGTGGCGCATTGTGTAGTTTTCCATCCGCTCCCAAATTTGAATCCCCAACCTCAAGGGCTCCCAATCCCCGACTCGACAGAACATTTAGAATGATATAAATCACGTCACAATGTCTCAAGGACATGATCAAATGTCACACAAGGGATCTGTCCACTTTGAACATAATCTCCACACTTCAGTCGTCAAGGTTCGAACCTTTTCTCTTCTCTCAAATATTGTCTAATGAACTATTGAGTTAAACTCGTACGGACACATTGTATAGTTTTTCATCATCTCCCAAAGTTGAATCCCAACCTCAAGGGCCCTAATTCCCGGCCCGACAGAACATTTGAGATGATGTAAATCACGTCACGGTGACTCAAATAAATCAGGGACATATCAAATGCCGTACAAGGGATCTGTCCACTTTGGATATAATCCCCACACCACAGCTGCCAAGATTCGAACCTTATCTTTTCTCTGAAATATTGTCTAATAAATCATTGAGTAAACCTGTACCGACACATTGTATAGTTTTGCTGTATGTATATGCATACGCAGACGTACACATACGAATACGTAGTTGTTTGGGAATGAAAGTAAAGGATGGAAAATTGGGAAAGTGGTTGGGGAGCGGGGATGAGAAGTCATAGAATGCACGAGATGTCCACGTGACGGACTGACAGTATGCGGTGGTTTCTGCTCTTTCACGATTGCGTTTAGCCGCTCACGATGACGTCGGTACCGTATTTGCCGTCGAGACACGTGAACGCCATCCCACGTGTCATTTCCTCTCTCCGACGTGGCGCTCCACTTCACACCTGATAACCCAATTCACAGAGTTTTTTGGAATAAGGTTCAAATTGGCCACTGAACGTAACCTGAAAATGCAATTAGGTCACTGAACGAAAAAAAAGTGCAATTAGGCCACTGAACACTCCAAATGTATGCAATTTCACCTGATAGCAGGTTACCATCAATTTTAGCAAATTACCTGCTTACGTGGCAGCTGAGTTGGCATTTTAAATAATTTTTTATAAAGTTTAATAATAAAGTTAAAAAAATATTTAAAACAAATTTTATTTTTTAAAAATTTATTTATTTTCAATTTTTTTATAAAAAATTATTATTAAAAGTTATTAAAAATTATTAAAAATGCACATTTTTGGGTGTTCAGTGGTCTAATTGCATCTTCTCTTTTTTTTTTTTTTCGTTCAGTGGCCTAATTGCATTTTCAGGTTACGTTCAGTGGCCAATTTGAACCTTAAATAGAATTTTTTCAATAGTTTTTTATACTCTAACATCCTTTATCTCACTCAATTACAAAACTCTTCTCACTAAATTTTAAAAATTAAACAAGAAAAACTTATAATAATAATAATAATAATAATAATAATAATAATAATAATAATAATAATAATAATAACAAAAAAATAATAATAATAAAAAGAAGCTAGTCCTTGTAACCGCCAACTAAAAATAAAAAAGAACAAGCTTCATTTCAGAGTGGCCGCCAGCTTGCAGCCACTTTGAAGCACCCCAACAGGCTCATGTGGAACATGCGTCCGTTTAGGGCGACCGTGCGCTCAAAAGCTTCTTTTTTTTTTTTTTTTTTTTCTCTCTCTAAGAAAAACCATTCATTTGCATGAGAAAAATTTACCCAAAATCTTCCTATAATCCTATCTTATCCGTCAAAAACACATGTTCAGTTTTTTCTACCCTAAAAAACCAACAAAAATGCACTAATAGGGATGCCTAAAAATATATGTCTAATATTAATACTCAATTGTTAAAATATTTTTTAAAATAATAGTATATAATTTTTTTAAAAAATTTATAGTTGTAGAATTCATTATATATTAAAAGTATAGTTGATAAATTGCAAATAATTATGAATGATTAATATTATTAAAATAATAAATTTATAAATGATAAATATATTACTAAATATAATTATGGTAACATTTAATTAAAATATAATGAAATCAAACTTATTTCTCATAATAGCATGTCTACATCCATTATTGTTATAATTGAAGAATATAAGAAAATATATTATGTATTCATGTATGTGCATGATAATAATAATGGAAAAGATATCAGAAGTTATAACGGTATGAATCGATATTTTTGTCTAAAAAATTGTATAATACAACTCTTATAGAATAATGTACAAAAAAAAATTAAACAGAAAAACAGACATAAATTAGGAATATAATATGGATTGAGACTTTAAGAAAAAAAAAAAAAAAGATTTTGTGAGCCCAAAATTTTCACATCACTATATAATCTACTCTCTTATTTTTTCTTCAATTCTTTTTATCTTTTCTAACTTTTTTGTGGGTCATACTCAATAATTATTAATTTCAACTTTATAAATTTAATTTTAATTTTAAATCAAAATAAAATAAATTTTGAATTATAAATAAAATTTAATAAACTAATCAAAATATAATTGTATAAATAAAAATTTGCATTCGAAATCATCTATGGAGAAAATTAACATTCAGAAGCAAATACAAAATTTTAAATACTAAATATACCAACAAATAATACAATTAATTTTTAAAAAATAAATTAAATTGAAAATAAAAATAAAATTTAAAAATAGAATTAAATTTTAAAATTGAAAAAATTGAAACAAAACAGCAACCGATGGTTTCTTTTTTTCTTTTTTTCTTTTTTAAAAATATAAAACAAAGGGCGGGGAATCTGTAGGTGTGTTCTAGCCCTTCTAGGTAAAGCTCACCTTATAACCCTAGCCAATAAATCAGTTTAGATTATCTATAGTTGTCCGACTCAAACCAAGAATCAGATAGACAGTTCTTACGGAGTCAAACTTAAAACTTTGTGGTTACTAAATCAACTGTTTGACCAATTTAGTTTAATTGCCCTTAATTTTTTTATTTTTTTTTTTGAAAACCAAATGAAACCACATATATTAATTCATAAAGTTCTTACAAAACAAAGTAGAGATAAAAAATTTATTCATAAGATTTGAACTCTTAACCTCTCAATCTAATGTTCCGCCCTCTATTTATATAAATATTAGGAGTTAATTTCATTTTTGGTCCTAAATTTATAGGTGACAGTACACTTTTAGTCATTTTTTTTAAAACATCCACTCTTGGTCCTCTATCAACAAAACAGTTTAAATTATGTTAAATACAATGGTGCTTCGATCTTCAATTATAGATTTTTTTTAAAATAAAAATAAATATAAAAGCGGGTCTACCTACTTTATATAAAAAAGATCAA